TTCACAGCCCTCTTGCTTCTTCTGTGGGATATGGCAGAGGCTGTTGACTGTTGCTTTTCTCAAGGTGTTTTTTGCTATCTAGTCTGTCTTCACTCATTCTCTTGGCTTGGTCACATCTTTTTAATTATCCCCAGTGCCATCCACATAGTAGGTATTTTCTGCGGTTCTGTTGCTTTATTGAAACCCAGGCTGGGCAGTACAGGTTCTGGCACAGTGCTGTGGGCTGAATCAAGTTGAACTGTTTCTATTCAGGGCCTACAGTTTCCTGGTAGGCCTGGCAGGCATGTCAAGGGCCACAGTTTTCCTTACCATCTTGGAGCCACCAGGCTTCTGGGTAAAAGTGTCTGGCCAAGAGACACAGGCTTTCATTTTTCAGAAAGGAAACCCTTCCCAAGTGATGGAAAATAAGCTTTTGCTCAGTGACTAATAATATAAACACAGACAAGAGTTCTGGGCTTATAAATAACCAGTTGTAAAAAGTGCCCAAGGGGAACAGCCCATTTTTGTGAGAAGAATGGTCACAAAGATGCTTACCACTTCTCCATTAGTGACCTTAACCGTGGGTAAGGAGCCTCAGCCCGAGGATGAAGAAGCCAGTCATTCCTTAATGCTGATTCCTAAGACCTTAACCTTAGCCATCATGAATACTGGGCTATTCTGGAAAAAGGAATAGGTGATCTGTGGTTCCTTCCTGTTTGAAGATGCTGAGTGTCTAGGATAGCTGTGGCATGCTACAAAATACCATGTTGGCAAGGAAAGTCTTAGGGCAGTCTTGCTCTAAGAAGTGTCGGGGGCAGGGGAGTTATCCAAACACTGAGGTGTGGGAAAATAGGGCTTTAGCGGAATCCCGGGGGCTTTCCATGCAGCAGGTCCCACATCCAGGAGAAAGGTCTGAGGTTCTAGGCTGGAGGCTTCGGCGACGACAGACCCCAATGACATGAGGAAGTCCTTGGTTCCAAAAGGGCTTATTGTCATGGCAGATGGTGGATGGATTTGGATGTACCCCCGTGAAACTCAGGGCAGTCCTAAGTTAAATAGGGAGGGAGAAAGGGGGAGGGTCTGGGGAGGAATGCTTAATTTGCTCCGCCCTCTGACCTTCATTAGTATGTGAATCCCTAGGCCCTGAGGCCTCTAGTCACTCTACCTGTGCACTTTGGGAGGGGCTGTAATGGCCTACGTGACTGAACAATGTAGGTCTATGGAGATGAGAATGCGCGTCAGGACTCTGGGTTCTGGGGATATGGCAGAACGCCTGCCGTTTCTCACTTAGAGTCTTGGGGTTCCAGGCCCATGGCCAGCCATGAACCAGGATACCCTTACGCAGCCCCACACTGAGGCACAGTGTTGAAGTCAGCTCACTGATCCTGCCCCCAAACTCTGTCAGCATCATTGCTTGATGAGAGTCATGCCAGAGGGATTGGTGTGTATGGGGGGTAACGGAGGCTGAGCTTTGATCCTGAAGGCCGACTGTGTAGTCTAGCCCAGCCGTGCTTGGGCTCTCTGTAGTCATGGCGACTGCTCTGAGCCTTGCTATACCAGCTGTTCCTCTCTATAAAATAAAAGGGCTTAGAGGGCCACACCCACATGACACCATTCACACAAAATGCCTCTTAGCACAGGGCTGGCACATAGTAGGCCCACGATACTTGGTGCTGTTGTTAAGTAACAACTGGAGGCTACAGCAGCCTCCCCAGCAGGCCATTATGTTCCCCAAATGTAGAATTCTCTTTGGCAGTTAGCTCATCTAATGTGATATTCAAGTGTCGGCTGTGAACCTGGCCTGAGTCCTATAGCGGGTGCAGATGGTGTCCCATAGCCAGGCCTGACCATGCGGAGAGTTCTGTGGCCCTGCTGATGGCCCATGACAACAAGGGGGCAGTCTTATTCAGATACCATTGCAGGCATCCCATGTTTCCTGTACTAGATCCAGAGCTCTTCCTCTGGGTATGAGTAGGGACATGGAAGTGCCCCAGTTCACCTGCAGAACCTGAGAGAAAAGGCTGCTGTTCAAAGGCAGCCAAGCCAGGTGCAAGCATGTCCCAAAGATTTCATCTGTTTAGTCATCAAGTCTTTTTTCCCCCAGAATACCTTGCAGGATGCGTGCTCTAGGAAACAGTCTTTGCTGCTGTTTTGCTTCTCAGGCATTTGGCAATGGAGTGACAGGGAAGCCGGGGAGAATGTAGTGGGGGACACAGGTGATGGACCCAGGCAGAGTGTCAGGCTGTGGCAGCGGAAGTTGTTTAGTGAAGTACCTGTCACACGTCACACTGAGCTGAGTCGAGTGTACGGCTGAAAAGGGAGGAGGCAGCCTCTGCTGGCCCAGTCTGCACCAAGGTGTGCCCCTGATATTCAGATGAGTCTCAGTCACCTTTAAGGATGCTCCAGAGTCTGGGATGGGAGGTGCTTGCTTGTGTGTGTGTGTGTGTAAAACCACTTTTTTCTTCCTTCTCCCTACCTTAAAAAAAAAAAAAAAAGAAGACAAAAACCTAGGAAGCCAGCTTCTTCCTGACGGCATGTATATCACTCATGTTTGCAACCCGAGCCGTATGTCCAAAGACCTTCCTATTTCCCAGAGTTTAGAGTCAATGAAAAGTCCAATCCAGGATGAAATCCTGGTAGGAGCCCCAGAGGCTGGGTACAGGGAGACCAGCAGACTCCTGAGCAGCCAGTTTTATCTGGCTGGCCCTTTTCCCTCCCTCTACCTTCCTCTCACCTTCCCCTTCATTTTATCAGAGACAGTCAGCTGGACTGGAAGGAGCCAAGAAGGAACAGCATGGGGTGGGGGGTGGGGGGTGGAGGGAGGGCAACCTTCTAGCCAGCAGTGACAAGGTGTGGAAGGGCAGGGAGCCCAGGCCACAGGCAGGCTCCAGTTCCACTCAGTTGCTCATTGCATGTGCGTTTTTGTCTTGGTGCCAGGCCCTGGGGGGCCAATAATTATCTAAGATAAGCAATAACAACCAATGCCATTGAAGACTGTGTGTTCAGGCTTCACTCTAAGCATCTACCATCCTGTCAGCCATCCGTTCTCCCAACAGTCCTAAGAAACACTTTCTAATTTCATTCCCATTTTACATTTGATGTAACAGAAACACAGAGAAGGTAAGCAACTTCCTAGAGTCACACAGCCAACAAGGTTAGAACGTTAGGTTTTAGCTCTCCCAGCCCAAGGTCCGCGTTCAGGCACAGGAAAATGGGTATGTAACCAGGAAATAAGTTACGTTGAGGCAGAGATGGGCCAGGATGTAAGAGGCTGAAGGCATGTGATGTGCAGATACACTTGATCGAAGGCTCTATTGATGATGGCCAGGATAGGTAGGGGTGAGGCAGAGGGAGAGCAGGGAGGTGGAGGCACCAGCATGTGTGTAAATGTGAGTCATGTGAATGACTGACAGCTCTTTCTGTATCATTGGGCATTGAAGTGGGTGGGAACAGTCGGACCTGATGAGGTAGAGGCAGGGCGGAAGGAGGGTCCCGGGTTCCCTCTGTATCTTCTAGGAAGGATGTACTTCCAGACAGTTAAAGGCATCTTGCATGGCAGCCTGAATTAAGGCTCCATGGCAGTGGAGTGAGTCTGAAGTGCGATTGAGCACCTAGAACCTTCTCTCTTCCTTGGCTTTTCTCTTCTGCCCCAGTGTTGGCCTTGGGTGTCTGTGTGGGACCCCGAATTTGATCTAACGGCTGGAGAATAGAGTTGGCAAGAGGGCCTTGACAAACATCATGGAGGCCGGGTGAAAAGGGACTGGGCTGCAGGCAGGGACACCCAGCTCCAGAGGGCTGCAGGGTCCCTAACTCCATTCCAGGTTTGGCTCTGGGGCTTCCTGGTCATGCCTGGAGCCAGAGCTAAGTTGGTTCTGGTCAGTTGTTTAGGAGACCTGCTCCTTGAGTGACTCCTCACTGGATCTTGGCAGTAGTAACTGGCTGCAGGCTCGGCAAGTCTCACAACCTCTATAGACTGTCCTCATCCGGCTTTTTTTTAAATGATAAAATTTCAAAAAATGTTCCCTGGGGGTGTGTTGTAAGTTTGAATGAGCCAAACAGGTCTAAGAAGGGCCCGTCAGATTGTGTGAGTAAAAACATTAAGGTGTGTATGAAAACTGGTGAGTCTAAATGAGCAAAGACATAACAGGATGGAGACCAGAGAAGCTTTGTCAGTGATATGATACCCTGCCTGCGTCAGATGGTTGATGGATAGCAGCAGCAGCAGGTGTGTGTGTGTGTGTGTGTGTGTGTGTGTGTGTGTGTCTATGAAGTGCCTGTTGTGCATGTGAACCATGATAGACGTGGAAGTCAATGGACAACCGCTTCTGTCAGTCTTCAGATCCACCTTGTTCCTAACAGTCTCTTATTTGGTGCTGTGTCAGCCAGCCTGGCTTGTGGAGCTTCTAGGGACTCTCTTTGTCTCTACATCCCAGTTCCTGCATAGGAGCACTGGGATCATGCATAGGAACACTGGAATCACACATAGGAGCACTGAGATCACACATAGGAGCACTGGGATCATGCATAGGAACACTGGGATCACACATAGGAGCACTGAGATCACACATAGGAGCACTGGGATCACGCGTGGGAGCACTGGGATCACAGACATGTCATGCTGTTGTGCTTGGCTTTTGCTTGTTTTTTAGGGTTCTGAATTTAGACCCCCACATCTAGGCAGCAAACGCTTCACCTACTGAACTGTCCCCACAGCCCCATACTTGTGTTCATTAATTCTCTTCTCTCTACAGAGAACTAAGCAGGGGTGGGAGGGCACTGGGAAGAGGTGATCTTGTTAATGGGGGTGGAGTCTGCAGAAAAGACCCGGGATGTTTCCCTCAACTGTATGAGGCAGGTGCAGGGACAGGGTAAAGCTACCATTGTCCCAAGTCCCCTGATGTTGAATGCATAGATTTGCAACCTGTTCTTGAGCCTCGTCTGGCTCAGTGACATCTCCATGGTCTTCCTTGCTCCATCCTGCTGGATAACAGAGTGTTTGTTTCTCTCCCCACCCCCCACAGTGTTTGAGAACAAAGATAAGATTGTGATCATCATGGAATATGCCAGCAAAGGAGAGCTGTATGATTACATCAGTGAGAGGAGACGCCTCAGCGAGAGGGAGACCAGACACTTCTTCCGGCAGATCGTGTCTGCTGTGCACTACTGTCACAAGGTACAGCCGGGCCTGCAACTTTGGGCGTAGACTGTTTTCAGGCACCTCATGGTGGCTTTAATACTATAAAAGCCTTGGTTAGTTCATTGTAACGTGTGGAGATGTTACAGACTAGGATGAGAAAAATCCCCCATTCAAATCCCATGCTTGTGTGTGTGTGTGTGTGTGTGCGCGCGCGCGCGCGTGCTCGTGTTTGTGCATGTGTACACAGAGGCCTGAGGTCATTGTCAGGTGTCCCCTGTCACTTCCCACCTTAGCTTTAGAGACAGGGTCTCTCACTGAACCTGGAGCTTGCCAGTTCCACTGGGCTGGTTTGCCAGTGAGTCCTTAGGATCTGGCTGTCTCTGTAGATCAGTGTTAGGGTGATAGATGTGCACACCCACAACCTTTGGTTGACCTCTCTGTGGACACGAGAGACACTCATGATCAGATCATGCAGCATTCTGAGCCCCCTCCTCATGTCATGCTGGGAAGCACTGCAGACCACTTCCATTGTTTGAAGTGTGTGAGTTTGTGGATTGGGTATGAATGGGATGATCTTAGACTCATTCCATCTTCTTCTGTCAGCTGGGAATGTGACCACGTGAAACAAACTTCTCGCAGTATTTCATTTAAAGCCAAAAAAACCCAGCTTTCCTGTTCTCCATTTCTCTTCTCTAGGAGACGTGTTTTGGGGGGGCATTTCTAAATCTCCGGACACCTCATGCCATCTCTCTCCAAGTTGGTAGTTGTGGAGACGTTAGAAGCTGTCAAAAGGAAAGGAAAACAAACTCAAAGAACCAGGTGCAGGCATGCTCATCAGTTAGTTCAGCACAGTGCTTTCTCCACAGAAGCCATTTATGCAGCGGGAATGCTGGAAACCCACTCCCCCACGCACATCCAACACAGCCCCCAAGCACTTCTTTCAGATGGCTCTGCCCACCCACCCCTAAGAGACTTGAGCAGGCCCAGTGTTACAGCCGGACAGCACCTTCGCCCCAGCCCGCTGGTGTCCTTTCCCTTCAGCTGGCTGGCTGCTCTCAAGTCCAGCCTCCCAATTGGCCAGAGTTTGCCTGAATGAAAAGGTCACACTGTGTAACAGTTCCCAGTGGCTCTGGTCTCATTGGCCTGCAACCCTTTTCATCAGCCCTGAGTCCTGCAGAGTGGAGAGGGACTTTTAAGTCTTTCCAGCTGGCTGCTTAGGAAGTATCCAAGACAAAGCTTTAGGAGACTAGGTCAGGCCTCTTTCCAGCATGAGGGATGCAGACAGATAGGCAGACAGACAGACAGGCAGGTAGGCTTTCCCTGGAGCCCTATGCTCCGAGTCACCAGCTGAGATGTCTGCTGCATCCCTGGGACCCCGTCTCAGACACAGTGGAATTACATTCCCACAAAGAATCCCCCTGCTGGTTTACAGGCTCTGGGGGAGAATGGATTCCAGTCATTTTTCCTTTAACCACACAGCAAGTGACTAATGCTCTCCTGTCGCTGGTTGCTGTCTGGGGAGCGTCCTGACAGCAAGAGCAGGCCTGAAGGATGGAGGTGAAGACCACCGGGGCTGGCTGGTGCATTTCTTTCATCTGTCAGACTTGTTCCCTATGCCTGGCTACCTCTCCCTCCTCCCCAGAGCTCTCTTGCTGACTGTCATCTCACACGCTCCTGCTCAGTTCTTCCATCTTCTCATTGCAGAATGGTGTGGTCCACCGGGACTTGAAGCTCGAGAATATACTGCTTGATGACAACTGCAACATTAAGGTAAAACTCAGCCAGGGGGTGCTGGGAATGGCGGGTGGGCGTGGTGGGTAGGCGTGGCTCTCCATAGCCCGGATCTGACGCAGCCGCTCCCTCTGCTGGTAGGCAGGCTCTGGGAAAGACTCCCAGCAATAGGCTCATCCAAATAGTTTAATTTAGCAGGCATTAAGGAGTTCCTCACAACCTGCCAGACTCCCTTCTTCCTGCTGGGACAATGACTGACACACAGTCCCTGTCCTCAGGAAGTTCACAATCTGGAGTTCTTACCACAAAAGTAACACACATATTTCCCATGTATTTTAGTTCCCATGTGCTTAATACTTTCATAAATCACTCTTTCAGACAGCATATGAGATGAGCGCTATTCATCTTATAGCTCATATATACATAGGGAAACTGAGGCACAGACAAATCAGATAGCAAATCCATAGTAACAGTGACTGGTATGTAACGGTTAAGTTCACACTATTATGCAGAATGTGCTAGAAGGGCCCCAGATTATTTTAAACCTAGAAGTCTCCTCTTTTTTTGTCCCTGTCTTTGAGGTAGCGTCTCTTGTAGACCAGGCTGGTTTCAGACTTGCTGTGTCACTGAGGATGACCTTGAACAGATGATCGTCAGAGCTCACCTTCCTTAGTGCTGAGACTGCAGTCAAACAATGCACCCCCGACTTAGGGGCCTTTCCCAAGCCTCTAAGTCACTGTGACTTCCCACCTCACATCTCTGCCTCTTCCTCCTCACCATCTTACACTTGAACCAGCTATGGCATTGGGAGCGGGATAAAGATGGCGGTAGTTCAGACCACGTGTGTTGAGAGCTGGAGAGATGGTCCAGCAATTAAGATCATTTGCTGCTCTTCTAAAGAACCTGAGTTTAGTTCATAGCAGCCATGTTGGGCTGCTCACAAACACCCATAACTCTAGCTCCAGGGGACTCTACACCCTCTTCTGGCTTCTGAGGACACATGAGGTCCACATACCAGACACATGTAACTACACACCATTAGAAATAAGTCAGTCTTAAGATTGATTGATTCCTTTAAAGAAAGGGTGGCCAATGGAGTTCACATTTATTTCTGACTGCTGCTGGAGAAGACTCTGCGGGGTTCAAGGGCCTCCTTGGGAACACTGTGAATGTCCCTTAGACCACAGCCACAAAGTAAGCAAACACCCTTTCAAAATAAACAGAGCTCGCTGTACAGGTTTTGTTATGAAATGGCTTCAGGACTCCCAGCACTGAGGTGGCCCTCAATTGGACCCTGGTCCCCAGACAAGGCATGGCAACAACCTCACATCTTCCTCTTTAGTTGCTCCTGTCGCTGTCTGTCAGTGGGTGTGTGATGGACCACATCCTTGCTTGGAAGGATAGAGCTGTTTTAGGTTTGCAGAACATGGCTGTCAACCATTAGTCATGAGCGTCCTTTGAGCAGTCCTTGAGAGATAAATCCCCATGGCCTGCTACTCAGAAGAGTTGGCCTCAGTTACATAGTTTTGTCTGCCCTTAGAGCCTGGTGAAAATGAGAGTTGAAACAGTTCTCCCTAGGAACAGGAAATGAAATATCAAATCCCTTTCTGGCAAGTGGCTGGATTATTCTAGAAGGAGCACTAACTATCAAGTTCAAAAATTATGGATTGGCGATGTGTTTCAGATTTCAGAACACCTGCTAAACATGTCTGAAGCCCTTGGTTCAGCCCCAGTATTGACAGAGGGAAAAAACAAACAAACAAAAAACCAACTTATGGGCTATAGGGCTTCCCAGCTCCTTGATATAGGAAAAAGCCCATATAACCCAGTTCCTTCAGTTACAAAATAGGTAATAGTAACAGCCACAGACTTGCTCTACGGCCTTTACAAGGTATTCTCTATGTTCAAAATTAAACTGTTGGGATCAACTGTCTACAAATGAGTCCAATCTAGGAGTCCAGCTCTAAAGTTGAACAGCCCAGATTAGTGCTGCAGCTCAGTCTCCTGCTGATGGCAAGGTTTAGGATAAATGTCTCACCCATTGAACTTAGCTTCTCCTGTCAAGTAGGAAGAAGAGCTGCCTACTGTTTGTTTATTTTCTCCAGTCAATTTTTTCCTGAGAGTCTCTGTGGGCAATGCCCAGATCTAGGCATCGGCAACAAATGTGAAACTATCTAAAAATGCATTCAAAGGCATGGTGCTTAGCCATGTCCATCCCAAGAGCTTGCCTAAGTGGCTGGCCCCTGAAGGAGGAAGCACATGGGAAGCCAGCAGCTGGAAAAATGATTCTGGGGTCCGGTGGTGGTCGGGCCTGCTGTCAGTTTGGACCCTGGCCTTCTAAGGGTTTTATACCATCTATTGATCTCAGTGACACTCTGTCCAGATTCTTCCTGCCACCTGTCGCTGGGAGCCCTCAGAACTAAATGTAGTCTTTACAAGGTCTGGAATGTGAGCCTCTTGCCTGGGGATTGGGTTCTGTGGTACAGTGTGACCTCTTGGTCTCACGCTGTAGTCACAGAAGTGATAAGGCGCATAGCTTCCTGTGGAGTCATAGAATTCCCTAATGGAGGAGAAGAATGGCCAGAATTCAGAGAGTGGGGGACAATGGGGCAGCAGCCTGTAAGGACAGCTCATTTGTAAATGCAACCAAGCAGAGACTGTCGGGCGCGGGCTCTTGGTGGGCGGAGACTGTCGGGCGCAGGGCTCTTGGTGGGCAGAGACTGTCGGGCGCGGGGCTCTTGGTGGCCAGGTTTTCCACCTGGGATCCTGTGTTTTTGTAGTCAAGTAGCACACATAGTACTTTACAAAGATCAACTTTGGTCCTATATTTTTCTTTGTCTTTTTTCTTGGGAATCTCTGTTCCTGCTCCTGACATTGACCAGGGTGGGAACATGCGTGGGCGCATAGGCACGCATGCACACACATGCAGAATCAAATCTGTCCCTTTAATAAATCATTATTTACTGTTTCCTCCGCTGTTACAGAGGCACCACTAAGACCTGATCTTCTATGCGAACGAACCTGTTGAGGGTCGCTTTCCAACCTAGACCGTCTAAGGATGTGCCCGAGATCAGTAGTTTGCAGTGTCTTTCTTTTTCCAGAGCATCCTGTGGTGCCTGGCACATGTAGGCATTTAGAACTGTTTGATTTGCGGGCAAAGGAACACCAAACCAGGATTAAAACCCCCATGTTTGACTTCCAGGCAAACTCCATCCTCTCGCACCCACTTCCAAGGGTTTTTAGAAATGTGTTTCAGCTGGTGTTGATTTGCCTTCCGGCTGCACGGGCTCTGCTCTTCCTGACTCAGCACTTTGCAGAAGCATATTTAGAAAGGACAGTTGCTGACAGAAGCAGTCATACACATGGCCACAAGCTGGCCTCTGCGTGAATGAAAGGCCACCGCTGCCTGGCCTAGGGGGGACTCAGGGTACAGATGTACTACCAACCAACCAGATGCGAGTGGCAAGATCCTCCTAAGGGCAGGAGGAGTGGATGTCACGTTGTGGGTCCACCTCTTTTGTGCCCTGGGGAAGTCTCTAAAGATGCTTCTGGCTGATTTGTGTTAGAGGTTGCTGCAGTTTTGGTGTGAGCCATAAGACTGGTTCCTCTTTCCTTCTGCGCCTTATGCTGATTTGCAAAGAGCACATCTGGTTTTGGGAATTATTTATCTGGCCATGGTGAAAGGGTGCGGCTTCTAAAAATATTCCTGCAGTCCAACGGCAGAAGGAATGAGCGCGATGCGCTGCCTCGGATAGCATTCCGTCCTCTGTGGAAGTGTGGACTAAAATAGCACCCAGCCTAGCATTAATTTGCAATTAATGAAAACAGGCCAGATTCACATCCCACTCTCTGGGAGAATGGAATGCTGATCATTCCCAGAGAAGGCTCCTGTAGAAGTGCCTCCCGGAAGAGGGCCAGGCGCCCGGGTCACCTGACCTCCACTTGGAGGGCTGGGAATCTGCTGAGCTCTCAGCGCTCAGGGAAGAGGAACAGAGAGGAGATGTTCTGCAGCCTGTGTGACAATGGAGGCATGGCTGCTGTGCGGAAGAGAGCCGCTTTGAATGGCAGTGACAAGATGAGATAGAAATCTTGGCAGCTTAGCGAGGCAAAGCCCGGGATCATGGCTTTGGAGTGTGAGAACTTCGTAGTCTTGCGTTAACTAGTTCATTTACCCATTGTATGTGCACGTGCGTGTATATGGGACTATTTATATCACAGCATACTCGTGCTGCCTGTGCTTGTTCTTCTATCCTTCCAGGAGCTGAATATCTACTAGAGACCATATTTCTTTGATCATAAAATACTTAACCAAGTTTTGAATGCTATGTCTTTAGTCCTGTGCCGGGTGTTGGGGTATTTAATGCTGAGTCAGATGGTCAGGCCTCTCTTGTCTCGGAGCTCTGCGTCTTTTAACTAGTCATTTAACTAGTGGTGATAATGAACCATCAAATGTTAAGGAGGAAAAGATGAGATGTGTGTCCTCCTCCCCTGCAGTGGACTTGGGGTTTCCTCTGCGGCTGAGACCAGAAAACAAAGGAATGTGTGATCCACTTGTCCAGTGAAGGAGGTTGGTCAGGGTGGGGATGGGGTCTCTCAGTGCCGTTCAGTGAGGTTGGTCTGGGAAGGCTCCTTTACGCTGCCCTGAACTCCTCAAATCTACAGAGTTTTCTCTGCCTTCCAGACCTTGGAGCGCAGGGTTCCCTCTGCCCGAATGCCCTGTCCACTCTCCCTTGTCTGTCTGTCCTTTAGGGGTCTTCCTCCAGAGAGTTTTCCTTATCCCTTGGCAGGCCAGATGCCCCTGTGCCATCTGGGCATGCTAAACAGGAAGGGGTGGGTCTGTCTAGCCAGATGGAGCTGAAAGCCTTTGAGGGGGAAGTGGTGACAGGCAGCCTTCTGAAGGCTGGGGAAGGATCTGATGGGTAGCATCCGATGATGAGCTCCCAGATGGGCTGAAACCAAAGGACCAAAGCACATTAGCTGAACTCCTGCTGGAAGCTGGAGCCCTGGACCAGGCCTCCATGTGTCATCTCCTTTAGTCT